AATTATGAATTTTCCACGACGCAAGTGAAACGAAGTGCTCTCTTCGGTCCTGCGGCTAAAGACACAACATTTCGAGTGCGTGACGATGGCGCGCGATTTTCGAATCGCGGCGCTCGAATTGCCGGAAAAGCCACGTTCCTCTCGTTTGTTTCTTTGAATTTTCGCACCACGGCCCGATTCGTATCGAAACAAGGATTCACTCACGGGTCGCCGAGAATGGCAGTGGACGATGCGGTAAGCACGGGACGCGATCCACCCGTGGAATCACGAAACTTGCGCGAGCCGCGAGAGCTGCTTAGAACGATCACCGGGGATCCAACGCGAGCCACTGAACACTGTAGAAACACTCGAATCCTTCTTCGGGGGGCACGGTAGACATTAAGGAAGGAAGCATGCGTCGAGCTTCCCTTCCTCCGTAAAACTCTTTCAAACACACGCGTGCACACCCACTTAAATACACAGGCGGTGGCGCGTGCGCCCGCGCGCGCCCCAGTCGACCCGGACCACAGTGGGCTGGATCGGAAAAATAGGTGACGTTTCGTTAGAACTCTTCAACCACGAAAGGTATAGGGATGAGATTTGCATTAGAATTCATTGAAAAATTAGTATTTTGTAATGGTAAACATTGTAATATGTTGTACGTTTTTAAAATAATTTTTTGGACAATGTTGACTTAAAAGATCGGAAAAATAGGTGACGTTTCGTTAGAACTCTTCAACCACGGAAGGTATCGGAATGAGATTTGCATTAGAATTCATTGAAAAATTAGTATTTTGTAATGGTAAACATTGTAATATGTTGTATGTTTTTTAAATAATATTTTAATCAGTTGTTTAAACAATGTTGTTTTAAAAAAACTTTTCCAGTCGTTCATTCTTTACCTCTACCTGTGTATCTTTATATACTTGTAATATGAAGAATAGATCTTTATTCTTCTTCGAAAATTGTCTGTTCTCGATAATGAGAAGGTATTAAATAATAACTCTTGAATACGAATAAAATAGTTGTAATAAGTGTGAAATATATTAAACATATAATATAATGAAGTGTTTAAACAATATCACATAATATTCTTACTAAAATAGTTTGTATAAGTGACAAAGCATAGAAAACTTAGTGTTAAATTAGTGTTTTCGTGCAACTTTGGACGCTAATAACTTCTGAACGTAGTCGAAGGTGGAAATGATTTTTCCATAATCTTCTAAAGAAAACTATGTTGAGTATATTTCAATTTGTTTGATCCTAGGATCTCTTGGGATCTAAAAATTATTCCTTGTCGAATGTAAGGAATTTTGAAAATTTTCATTGGTTTATTAATCGTTATTGCTCTAATGGATAACAAACAGTACTGCTTAGTGTAACTGTAATTTTGACCAGAAAAGTAATCTGAACATTTTAAGAGTAGAACCAAGCAAAAATATTGGATACAATTGTTATAGCATCATGTAGAAGAAAAGTAATTTCTGTTGCAAGAAATGGTACTTTTAAAATGTGTAACTTTTGATATTTATTACAACTATAATATTTACTAAATTATATTAATTGTTTTGTTTCCGAGGTTTATAGCTATTTAAGAACCAAAATACATTCAGTAGATATCGATTCCAGAAAATTGGCTTTTTGACGAAACGTCACTTACTTTGCCGATCCAGCCCACTGCGCGACCCACGAAAGAGTTATTGTACGCGCTGCTTTGGGAGAAAGGCCGCCGCGTCTTTTAACGCGTGTCGAAGATCCTGAAACTTGTAAATCGATCTGTTAACTACGGAATCAGATGTGAAACCCGTTTTGGTGGCCAAAATTCAAAGGTCATGCAAACTTTAGGGAAATTGGTAATCAGGGGATTTTGGGGTGACTGATAACGAATCTGACACAAAAAATTTGAAATTCAAGATAGCGGATTGGAAACGAATCTTTGTACTGACTTTGTCTTAAGAAAATTCTATCGTTCCTAGAAAACCTGATGTTCGTTCATTTCTATTTTGAAAATTACAGGTTTAAAAATAGACAATTCTGTTACATAATCATATAATTGTATCAATCGAAATGGACATAAACATGTACCAAATAATGTTTATAAAATTCAATATGCGTAAAATTGACATGCTCCGTAAACCTAGTGTCAGGAGAGCACTCGCTATGAAACATTTTAACTTTTCAATTTTCATTTCTTTAGGAAAACTGCTGCGATTATAGTAATTTGATCAGTGTTAAATGGGTGATCAACGTGATGACACGTTAAATTTCTTCATTTTCTTTGTAGTTCGTTACTAATTTGTCAACAAGCAATGTATTTCCTTCACTGGTGAGATGTTACATACGAATTTGTGGACATTGAAAATTTGCAGGTATTATGATTAAGTGCGTAAGCCAAAATACAAACGTACATTGGAAAAAGGGAACCGTATTTATTCAATCCAGGAAGATGTTTGACTGTTTGGGTAGGTTTAAAAATATTTTGGTGACGGATGGAAAACGGCCGACGCGAAGAAAGAGGCACTTTGTGAGAATGATTGGAGGTTGCTCCAGTTTCTTGAAGTAGGTACACCGTTTTTACAGTTCCTCATGAGTTTATGGGATGTTAGCATAATTATAGGAGTTCATCCACTTCCGTATCATTATTTGTACAACATAATTAATCGAGACCTTATAATCATCCCAAAAAGAATTTCAATAAAGATATTCACATATCGTTAATTAAAAAAAAAAGTTCTTTAATCTCATTACTAATTTTTGCTGAACATCTGCAGTTATCTATGGTTGCAGTTTTATTGCTGTTAACAAAATTAACAATAGAAATGTTTAACTAGAGCAAATCGATTTATTTCAATCAAAGAAGAGCTATGGGTCGTCTTTTGTCTCAAAATAATCTTGTCTGTTAATTAATTTCAATTTACTGAGTGAAGCTGCATGCTCGTACAAGGAATTCGTGCATCCACCCGAGAAAAAAGAAAATGATCATTTCATTCCGGTAAGAACCGATTTCGCCGGGTGGTTTTCATGTGAGATCATCTCCTAAGAATTGTTTTCCTCGTTGGTCAGTCACTTCTCGCGAAGAAACATGACGACGATTAATATAACTCTATGGTAATTGTTGTGTATCACACTGGTAAATAGATGATAATGAAATATTAAGGAATCCGACGCTAGTGGTGTCATTGTTCTAAATGAAAGTTGTTGGATTCATTAAATATGGAGACCATGTCTTAATAAGCAACATAGAATCTTATGTATAAGGGATGAAGGAAGTATAAAACATTATGGAAATGATATAAATTGCATATCAATAGTAATGTATGTTTGAGCATAAAACCCACACGTTTCATTTGAACATTCGAAATTTCAGTGATACGATACAATATAATTTAATAAATTTCAATGATATTATAATATATCAAAATTTTAAATATTTCATATTTTTAATATGTTTAATTGGTTTGTTTTATGCAAATGATTTACATTTTGTATAATGTGTTATGTTTAGTAGTTGTAATTGATAACTGAAATATTTAATATTTTTTTTATTTGAAAACTTTATAGCTTGGTTCGATATTTCAAGATAAGACAATCATTCTTCCATAAGATCACATAAATGAATCACTTATTATATCAATGTTTTAAGTATGGTACTGAGAAACAGTATAAAAATAAGAAACACCGGAAAAAGTTTGTAATATGTTATTGAAGAAATTTTACGGCAGTAACTGTTTAATTCTAAGAACAAACTCTGCAGTATGACAACGTAATTAATCATATCAAGATCAAGAACATATTCGTTGATGGTATTGGCCTTGTATTTGATATAGCATGAAATGTTTGAATTAAACAAAATTTTAGTTGAGTATGGTAGTCTTTACTTCATGTTTAATCCAACAGAATTTTGAATAGAATAAATAAATCTCTGTATAATTATTATTAGTTATTAATGCAGTATATTAATTAATTACTTTGAGCAGTGAATTATATTTGTTTCTGATAGACTCCATAATTTCTTTTTTTTTCATTTTGTTATGGTAGTTTCAAGAAAATAATAAATAACTCTTTCTCCATAATTAATATTCAGTTCGTATTATTATTTAATTCACAATTTGAGTACTAATTACAGTGCCATACTTCTTTGTTATCAAATTTTAAAAATTAATAATTAAATTTCGGGTATTTATACGATTCACACAACCTCTTTTATTTAAGAAAGAAAGAACAAAACAGAAATATATATTTTTTATGAAACATTTCCTAAGGCTGAAACTAATTCTTGTTATTATAACAATTATTATTGATCAATTCTTTTGTATTATAATGGTCTACAAACTGTAAATCTGTTAATTATTTATAGTAAATGTCTATATTGTTTCTGCCTGTGGCAAAAGTGAGGAGAACATTATTACGGAAAGTTAATTTAATTTCAAAACGTGTATCTTGCACTAATAAAAAATATCCTTCAATATCATGTCAAAAATCATTTCATCATCTCATTTTGGAATCTTTTATATCTGCTATTATTTGTAGTTATTTATCTTACCTTCAATAGTAACGAAACTAATTTAGGGGTCCATTACATGTGAAACACTTTATACGTTAAAATTACGAAAAGTCTGCAGTATATTGATCACAAACTTAGTAAAATAAAAAATGCTATGTAACGTTGAAAAATCATTTGTAATGTAATAAGAAAATGCACCAGCTTGTGCATAGGGCTAAATTGTGAATCACAAATTCTTGCACTTGTTAAGTGTGATGGAACGGGCTTCAAACTTCAGGAGTTCAATTGTAGGGACGTACGTCACCAATTAAAAAGCAATTGCTTGTTTCATTGGCCGTCGCGATTGTATTACTGGACGATGAGAGATGTCGCAAGCCACATTCGATTATTTTACCGGATAAAACTGATACTGACTAGCTCATTACTATCACGAAGGCACAAGTATTTACTATCGATGGTCGAACGTCGGATTCTTTGTAGGTACATTCCCCTGAACCTTAAAACGCAGAAAAACAGTATCTTCAACGCAATTTTTGTTACAATTACTGAATTTTTGCCATCTAATCATGCAACATATAGGTATCTACAATTTTTGTGCTTCTCAAATGAGGTGTTCTTGGTAGTAAAAGCAAACTCAGCGTTTTATGAACAATTTTTTATGTTATTAACTTGATCTACATCTGAATTACCTTTTAATCTCACCTTATGATTTATTGCTCAATTATAATTGGTACAACTACTTTGTTAGAAATAATTTGCTAGAATAAGGAGAAGAATCTAAGGTTTATTTTATATCGACGTTTGCTATGAAGTTTAATAATTAATAATAAGATAATAGTATTTAATTTGTTTCGTGTTTGTTCAATTCTGTCTGAAATCTTCGATACGAGTCTGGCATGATGTTACAAGGCAAGGGTTAATTCTTTTTTTGTCACAATATAAGAAAAGTTTTTATTAAAAATAAAAAAACATTTTTATTATCTATCGTATACCTAAATACTATTTGTTACTCTTAACATTTAAGGAATTGGAAAAATAATAAAGTTCATAAGATATCAGAACTTTTTGTTAAGTTCTTCTATATGGAAGTATTTAAAATACATTTTTCTCGAAATATGGATTTGCTGAGTTCGTCCTTACAACTCGGAACGCCTTAAATGTTCTCAAGTAAATAATTAAAGTGCCATATTAACTATAATTGAATTAAATAAAGGGTTCATTAAGTTTGAAGCCATACGTGTTTTATTACAAATGCAACAAACTTCCTATTTTATACTAGTAATAGTGAATGAAAATAATGTAAATAATGGTAAATAGTTTCTAGTAATACAGAATAGAATTGTATCTAACTGTCCATAGATTAGTGTTTGGAAATCTGAATTAATATAACTGTCTATGTATAATAATTTTCATATTCGTCCATGAAAAACTGGTAGCCTTTATTTTCATTTTCCGCGTTGACACAAGATAAAAATCGTATGCCGAGTGTACGAACAAATCCAATCTCAGGAATCACGTATGTTTATTTTTCCAATTACGTATAATTAATGCTCGAGACGTAACTCAGTGTAATTAATAGAGTCTTGGGAGGAAGTTGTTGGTCAGTGTTGAATCTTTTGTTTGTTGCAAAAGTACATAAGAACAACTGTTGGCGATTCTCATGTCTTTGGTCACAGTTTTTATTTGAAGGAAATATTTTACGTACTTGTAGATTGCGACATTGTAATTTTCGATAAGTATGGAAAATACTGAGCCTAAAATATTTAAAATTCCACTTTAAAGTACGGTGAAATTACGTTTAAGGACAATATTTACATTACAATTCTATTTTAAATGAAACAGTGGCAATAAATACATCAAACGTATTTACACATATCTAAAAGAATATACTTTTTGTATAAATTGAGTGAGAAACTGCTAGTAAACAAAAATTGTTAATAATTATCAGTAAAATATTTCAACAATATTTGAAATAATCATAGAAATTACGAATTTCGTGGTAACATTTAACGAATGTTAAAAGAATTTCCCTTGTAAAATTTAATATTAGCAACTGATTTGTAGCAGGAGATGAAGAAGCCGTAAAATATTTATTATCGTACTACGAGATACGTTTAATTGGCTGGTTTCATTCAAATTATGAAAGGGTTTCCTTGATTCTTACTGACAAGTACACGTGTTAGCGATAACAAGCCAGGTTAATTCGGAGAGATCAAAAGAAATGTTGCGAATAAAATTAGAGTGTTTCCGAAGAATCTCTGTACAGCATCACGGACGACCTCAAGATGCTTCAGAAAGAAATGGTCCCGTAGGATGGAATTTTTTATGATTAACGGTTTCCGATGCTCATGATCATGCCATAAAAAGTTGACACTTCTGAAGATCCTAGTGAAGTATTCTGGAATATCTTCTGTAATTATGTACCACACACACATACCATACTGTCATGCAGTTTGCGTAACATATTGTGCTGAAATACAATGAATGAGTTTCATTAGTCTCTGTTCAGTATTCAGGATACAATAGCAATTTTTAGGTGAAACAAAAAAGATCGGTTTTTGTAACGAGATAATGTGGTACAGCTGGAAATTGAGTTCCAGTTAGTATCAGAAAAAAACTGTTCTTTTGTTGTTTTACACGTACAATCTCGTTACTATATGACTCAACATTTTTTGCAGACATTTTTGTAAAAACTCTGTGGTCACTACAAGTCAAATTTAAATTAGAATAATAGATATATTTAAGTAAAATATATTTTATAATTAAAGATGTTCATAGTTTAAAATATTTACAATTTAAAATATTTTAAATATATTTTAAGTAAAATATATTTATTTCTAAATTAGTGTTTCATACATTAAATCTAGGTCGCCAAAGTAACTATGTTGGTGTACTGCATGCAACACGAACCTGGGATTTTGTTGAGGATGATAATCACACCTCTCATTTTTCTTCTTTGTTTTAAAAGAAATTTAATTATTACGCAACAAACGCACATTTGCATTTATTCTTTATGCTTACTTTTTCATAATTTTTAAAAATATTTTGTAAAGTGAATGGAAAATTGTGAATATTAGAAATACGCTACTTATTAAAAACTAAACACGAGAGTCCTTGTTTGAGAACTAAAATTTAATTCTATTGGGCAAAATCTTATTTAGATGCCGAATGGGATTTATACAATTATAAATATTATACTGACAAGTAAATTATATATAATATATAAGTAAATTCAATATAGTAGATATTGTATAAAGCATAACATTGCTGGTACCTTTATGATAATGAAACGAAATGAAATTACGAGAAATAATTAATCAAAATACTAATCACACAAAAAATGATCTTATCTGCCCTATATCTATGTAATTAAAATTTATCTCTCCCCAAACAGGAAATGTTATAATATTACGTGCTCAATTTATCTGCCATCAAAAATCACCCAACAAAACATTTACCCTAAATGAAACTCAGTAATATCCTTTTTTATAATCATGGTCAACAAATCCATTAACTGAAAATACATTTCATTGAACGTTAGAATACACACAGAACGAAACGTTCGCACAATAAAACACTGATCCAACAAAGACTCTAAACACACAGGCTTCACTGAGCGAAAATTTACCATTTACCATTATGATGTCGATCAAGAAAAAGCTCGATCAGGAAATGCAAAAACCAATCGTCAGAAACAACGACGCCAGCGATTCCGTGAACGATTGTATTACATCTTATCGATTAATCGGGACGAGATAAAGTGGACCATGACGCGATTCAATCGGAGCTGCATTTCGGTATTCATATTCCGCGTGCACGGCACGACGCGAGTAAATCTGGCGCTGCTAGAAATAAGCGATTAGTATGACTCGTAATATTCGAAAAATGCGAAACGCGCGAAAAGTAGATGCCGCCGAAAGCCGGAAATGCGGAAGTTTGATGCGTTGCCAGTGAATCAAATTAATCCGGAAATGAGCGGCAGTTGTTCCGGGAGCGACCAATTAAAATATTTCGGCTTCAAACGGATTCATAGGAATAGGTGTTTGTCAACTATCACATGCGCGGCTGATTCATGATTTTCGGCGAAGTCACTCTGTTAAGAATGTTCCTCGTTGGCGTCATTTGCTCTATATCGCTGGACATAGCGCCAGAAATTTGTCTTTGGCCGAATGAGTTATGAAACGTATAATTTTGATTGAGTATACGACAAACTCGCTGGTTTCTTAGATTTTAATTATTAATAAATCCTGACTCAAGAATCGAGTAAGGTGGGATGAGGTGAATCGGATTTGAATATTTTCGGTTTGACAGTGAAGCATTAAAAATACTTGATCGATGATAATGGAAAATGAATAGGAATTTTTAAATATTCCTTCCGTAAATGAGAAATAAAAGTGAGAAATATTAGGTTGATTAGAAAGTTTTGATTTATATGTACAATACACACAAAACGAAAAACCTAAGTAATATCCAAATTATAGTGACTTTTATCATGCTTTTTAGTATACATCATTTTCTATCGTAATTCTGTTTCCCTAATTATATTCTTAAAGTCTAAATATACATAAGAGTCTGCAGTCCAGTAATCAAGTAAAAAATATCCTTCTAGCTTAATATTGTGTCTCGTTGAAATCACGCGAAATTTTCTAGTATTCCCAATAATACAAAGAACTTTCATAGTGTGGAATATTTTACGTAACAGGACGCAGCCTCTACAACTGCACGATCCTCAGGATCGGCAGCGCACAGTTAAACGTTCTATTAGCTAAAGGTATGTCCAAGGAGGAAAAGCACTGAAAATGATTGACAGGAAATGTCAGCTAGCGAGATATTTTGATCGTTTTACACGTCCTTCTGCAAACTGGATGGAAAGAAGGAGCCTCCTTTGATCAGAATTTCAACTTTTACGCAGTACGTAAGCACTTACAGTCAGCAACAAAAGTACTCGAACGTGATCCTTTTTAATCTATTAAATTTTAGGGATTATTTCGTTTTAATTAATAATTTTGAGGGTAATCTTTTATTAATGAAATAAATTTAAAGATAATCCACTTTAAGTTTTGCTACATGAGTAGGAGTATTACGTTCATCTATAAGAAGAATTATTCGTATAGAATTAAGATGCTTAAACATAATAAATGCTCCGTAATTTGTGTGCATATTGCTAAATATTTAAAAAATTGTATTGCTTGTATATATGTACTATGAATGCAACTTGTTTCAGTATATAGTAAAATGCGATGTATAATTTTTTTAATGACAATTCATTTATTACTACGCTGTTCAAATACTTTCGTTACTGACTCTATACATGCTATTTTTAGAATTATATTTTATA